TCTTCTTCTTCTTCTTCTTCATCATCATCATCATCATCATCATCATCATCATCATCATCATACATTAAACTTGTATGCCGCCTGACTCTCATACTGCAATCTTCATACACCCTGGTCATCAATAGAAAGGTCCCATTTTGATCTTTACTGGCTATCAGTTTTGGTCTATGGAGGCTTTCACATAAAAGGTCATCAACAGAATTTCCTCCTAACTGTAAGGCTATAATACTGATCAGTTGTGACACATTTGAGCTAATATGCTAGAAATACAGGCAACATCAGTTTTATTACAGCATGCTCAAACTACTCTATACAAGCTAGGATAAAATGATTTTTTAAAAATAATATTTCCAACCATTCCAATCATGGATTTATATATTTTATTAATAGCTCGGTTAAAACAAGCATGGCTATTTTGGGTGATATGTCAACTGATTTAAAAGTGACAGATGACTGCCAACAGGACGGAGTTTCCTTTCCCTGATCACTATTAAAATTGTGTGCAGGTGTTATATTTGTAAAATAAGTTTAGTTTATTAAATTACATGGTCATAAGTGGATTTTCATTCTCTTGGAACTTTTCTTAATATATTAGAAGTTGCTGAAAGCAAATTTTCTAAAGAAAATTCAGCTGCAGCATTGCAGCTTTTAATGTTGTATTTTAGAATCACAGCATTAAAATTGCTGTTAAAAACTGTAATTTCAAAGGTATTCCTCAAGATGGCACTTTAATAAAACTGAAGAGGATGGCCAGAGTGTGCAGAGAGAATTTGATGGAGTACTTCTGTGTAATTCTAAAATTACAGTCCTGCTTAAAAAAAGGATTGATCAGTGCATGAACAATTTTTTCAGTGAACAAGTTGTGTTTTCATCCTATGTGGTGCATTGGATCAAAAGTTGTCCCACATCATTCCATTAAGCTCCTATTTTAGTTTTTTTGTTTTTTTGTAAAATACCCTGGAATTGCTACGGTGCATGTACAGTGGTACCTCGGGTCACGAACGCTTCTGTTCACAACCAATTCGGGTCACGAACAGCTCCGTTAGCAAAATTTTGCTTCTGTTCGTGAACGCCGGATCGGGTGACGAACAGGATCCGCGGCCATTTTCCCTCCCGTGACACATGGTCGTGGCTTCCTGTAGGGAGGGGGACTCTCCCTCCAACCAATAACCGCCTCCCCACCCGCCTTCCTGTCCTCCACGCCAGAAGTCGCATCGAGCAAAGTTAGCGTTCTCTTTCTTTGTACTGTATTTTGTTTCATATTTTTGCGGTTTTTTTAAAAAAATACATATGGTTCAGAACGGATTAACGGTAATTACATTGAACCTTATGGGAAAATTTGATTCGGGTCGCGACCAATTTGGGTCACGACCAGAGTCGTGGAACGAATTAAGTTTGTGAACTGAGGTACCACTGTATTTGTTCTCAAGGACAAGATTTTATATTACTATATTATTATTACTATATTTTATAGATTATACTGTGCTTAGAGTCCAGCTGTATTGAAGTGGTACATAAATTTCTGAAATAATAGTTTCAATGTCCAGGTTTACACAACCATGTTTTTATCATGGTTTATTGAATAAAGCACTGCTGGCTGCATTTACACAATCTAATAAGCCAAAACCAAGCAACAAATTGCATTATAATTTATTGCATTTTATGAAACAGCTCAGTATAAAGACTGACACCTACAGTATATATTGAGGTCAGATGTTAGACTTTAGAAATGCTGTAAATGTTTTAAATTTTAAAAAGTTGTCTTAGGCTACAGTAAATGGGCAAGGTTGTTTCTGGAAGGCTTTGCAGATGTCAGCTTTGAGCATTTGAACCTTGGAAGATTTAAATGGACCCACAACATCTCTATTGTCTATATGGTTAGCAGAGATGGGGGAAGTTCACATAGTGCACCAGCTGAGTTGAAAGATGGTGACACTTTGGCAAAAAACTGTGTGAACAAACCAGTATCTTACCATTTTGAATAAATGCACAAATCTCTCTTTGCAATATATATGAAACCCCTTCTGTGGCTTGTCTTACATATGCTTTTTATAAAGTAAATTGATTTGGTGATGCACCATTTTCTGTCATGTGTTGAAGGAAGAACTTAGAGAGCTCCGGGAACAACCAATTGATCCTCAGGCCCAGCAGGAAATAATTAACAGCATTGAAGAAATCTATTTTTCCAATGATTCCTTTGATATTGTTAAGTATGAGTTGGAGGTAAGCACATTGAATTGGAATAACAGTTTATTTAGAAAGATATTTTACCTGATAATATACTTTGAACTTCACTGCTCTGTCTTCTTCACTGCCATTAAAAGAGAAGTATCTTTTCTTGTTTTAGTAACCTGATCCAAAGTCATATTCATTAGCCTTTTAAGAAATTTGTCTTAAAAGTAGTAGATTTTGTATCTATTTTTAAAATGGATTTTATTTGTGCTTTATGTGTAGAAGCTGCCACCTATTCTTGGTCTTCAGGAACTGGAAGAGTATAGAGACAAGCTAAAGCAACAGCAAGCAGCTGTAAGTAGAAAGTACTTTCTTCCCTGCTCATCTTCATGATTTCCATAAACCTCATTACTTTTCTTCTCAGAATAATTATATGACCTTGAAAACATTAAGATATTTCAGTGAAGACTCAGAAATTATAATTAAGATGGTCATATTTCACTTGCTTCTGTCTTTTGTTTGGTGTATGCCCTGTTTGGGTTATCACTTGTTCTCTTTCTGTTACAAGGAGAGAGTTGAAACTACAGAGGGGGAGGCTACAGTTAAGGGTAAATTACTTATCCCCTCTAGATGACTTGGACTGCAACATTCCCAGCCTTTTGCCATTGGCCATGGTAGCTTGGACTGATGGGTATTAAAGTTCAAAATACCGAGATGATAGCAGGTTTCTTAACCCTCTTATAACTCCATGGGACAGTATAGACCTTGCCTTTAGAAGGTCACAGTTCAGTCTCTGGCATGTCCAACTGAAAGCATCTGAGAGATATTTTTTGTCCAAGAAGTTGAAATATTGTTGCCAATGCTAAATAGACCAACAGCCCCACTAATTGTAGGGTAACATTTTAAGGATAGCCTCTGGCCACCAAAGGTTGCCCATGCCTGGCTTGGCTTGCTTTCTAAATAGTCTGGTTGATACAGCATTAACCAGCAATTGATATTAACCAACAGTTCGGTTGATATTAATTAACCAGCAATGCTGGTATCTAAACTCCATGTTGAGTTTTGCAAATGAGTCTACAATAGTTCCTAGTCAACAATTGTTTTTGCTCTTCTGTTAAGAGCCTAGTAGACTATAATTAAATGTATACTTAGTCTGTTAACCACAGTTTGAACACACAAAGCTGGCTGAGTTGACACACTACCCTAAACCCATACCAAAGAAACAACATTATAGTTTAGCATAATGTGTAAATCCAATCTGTGTTTCCATGGTGGCTGTGAAGATGCTGATATAATTAGCAGAGATTCAAAGATAATTTAGCTTCTTAGCAGGCTTCCAAATTTTCTACACGTCAAAGGGAGAGATGGGAGTGATTCCTTCATTTGTCATCTTGTTCACCTGCTTGCATAGGATTATCTGTGGCTGCAAATTAGTTGTAAAACATAAGGCTACTCTCTGCATGTAGGAAGTACATGTTGGGAGTCCTGCACATTATAATCTGGAAGATATGGACCAATGTACAGAAAATGCTTTGAAGGAGTCAGTGGAATATAATTATTTCCTTGTCCTATATTAGCTATAATTGAATAATAAAGAAAAGATGCTTGTTTTGTTCATTTCTTGCAAAGCACAATTTCACGTACACTGGAGAGTAATGGGTAATGGGTAAAAAGACATAGTTTATTAAACAGGAAAACAATGATTTAATTTTAACTCATTAGGGGTAATACTGCATTCTGTAATCTTGCCCTTCAGAGAACATCCTCTTTTTATAAAAATGCAGATTTATTTCACTCTTCTTTATAGGTGAATCTTATTATAATTATGACACATTGCATGAGCTATATTTGGTTTCTTGAACTATGTACTCCCTTAATTTTTATTCAAGTATGTTCTTTAGTTTGCAGTAGGGTGGAAGGTGAATTTCAATTCTACTCTGATTTTTGATGAAAACATCTATTTTTATTATCTTTACTTTTTTGCAAAGTATGGCCATCTTGTAGAGTGTTTATCACTTTTGTTTGCATTTATTTTAAAGTGGAATAAAATAAAGTAGAACAAAATGCTTACAATGGATCATTCAAAATTGCTGAAGGTCTCCAATATGCATAATTTGGAATGCTTACTTCAAATTGTATTGTTGACTTTAAATGTTTTCCCTAAAGGTATCTAAAAAAGTTGCAGACTTGATCCTTGAAAAGCAGCCTGCATATGTCAAGGTAAGATAGCAAGTTTCATGCTTTTTTGTCTTTTAATTGCAAGGTGGCTTGTACCTATCAGGAGTTGTATTTGGAATAAGCCAATTAATCAAGAAAATTTGTTATAGTCTCAAACTAGTGTCAAAGATTGGTTATGTTGCTTCACACAGTTGTATAGTAAAAAATATAGGAGTTGCCTAAAATTTCATAAAATTAATATAAAGTTAAATATAAAATGCAGTAATCTGCAATAATAAAAAGAAAGACCATTGATTTATTAACTTCCGGTGGTTTCTTCTTCTTGCTATGGCACCTTGTATGATAAGCTTCCAAACAGAATTTTGCTACTTGCATTTAAATAAGTATAATTCTGCTTGAAAAATAAATAAATAAATAAATAAATAAGTACATACATACATACATACATAAATAAAATTTGTACACTGCTTTATCTTTGAAAGGTTTTAGGCCACTTAGAGGGAAGTCATCCAATTAACAAAAATCATTTAAATTTACAGTTAGAATAGTTGATAGTAATAGTAGAATACAATGTAAGAACAATATAACCTTTTTTCCTTCTCATAAAGATTGATTAAAATAGCAAATTAAAATGATCTGTTGGATGCTATTTTTTAAAAAGAAAGGCTTTGCTTGTTTTCAGTGAGATGGTCCTTTCTTAAGTTCTAGCAGCTAGGGATTGGTACTAGATGGGCCTTGGGTTTAGAAGGTTTAGCCTTCTCCATCCTAGAAGAACTTCAGCTCCTAGAATTCTCAGGCCAGGCTGACTTGGAATAATGAGAGCTGTAGGTAATAGGTGGAAGCTGTCCAATTTAGTGAGTGCATTTTAAGATTCAGTTCTATATTTGTGCATTTAGATATGTGTCTGAATGTCCCTGAGCTCGTCTCAGCAGGTAGCAGCACCTGGCAACCTTGCTTTCTGAGTTTATGTGGTCCTTAATATGAGTGCTGGCCTGTCAGTCTTTCTCTTTTAACAGTTTTGAATGGAATCATACTTAGTCCAATTCAGAAGTGGAATACTAGACCCACCTAACATCTGACATCTACAGTATATCATTCCCTTGTCTCCAAGGTCATTAGTAGTTAATAGTTTTATTTGGTATGCATTTATATCTAAGCACAGACCTATTTTTCATAATTTCCTTTGTCTCTTATCCATGAATATTACAGTTGGATATGCTTATATTTCAAGTACTCGTTATTGTATTTAAGCATCTGGTGATCACTAAAGCAATCTCTGCCATTGGCATCTGGTGATCAGGGATACAAAATATCTCTGTGCAGAAATACGCAGATATCTTTTTTCCATTTTCTATTCTCTATTCCCTTCTCATTGCATGCCTCTCAACCTTAAGACCATACATGATCGGCTGGAAAGGACATGATTCAAGTGCAGCTTGTCATGTAGCAGAAGAAAGAAGATCTGGTGCAGTTTGTTCAATTCAGTAACCATGCTGATGGGCATTTTGCCAGAAGGGGGGGGGGTTGGGGGCCATTTTTTACAGGTCTCCACATCTAATAAGAAAAAGGCTACACATTTCTGTAAAATGGCACTTGGCATTTTTCTTTCAATAATTATTCTGGCCTGTGAAATCAGAAGATGGAATTGTAGCATTTTGTATTTTTGATTTTAAAAAGTTCTAATTTTTTGATAGCACTGTTAGGTACATCCCAAATATTCAGGATGTAAATATTTCATGCTGGTAGCAGCCTAGCTTTCTTTAAAAATAGGACATTGTCCAGACATATCAGAGCAGAGCTATCTAATATACCAAAATTTTAAAAACCTGTAATGCCAATTAAAGCCAGATGGTGCTTTTACCTGATTTGAATAAAACATGTACAAATATGACCCCAGATCTGCACAAGGAAAGTTTTGAAAGTTTCCTGTAATGTAAAAATAAGAGAGTGGATGTAAGTGCTTACGTTTTAATGTTATATTCTGCTATTACTACAAAAGACCAAACTGATAAACTTTTAATCAAAAAGATTATATATATTTTGCTCTTCCCTGAGCCTCATATGTTTATGAGTTCAGAAAGAAAACTGAAGAGAATCAGTGAGAAGCCACTAACAAATAGGTCAGGCTTGTCTAGGTACAAGCTCTAAAACTGATTGGGCTGATATATCAGAGCTATAATATACAGTATGGTAAATATATGTAGAGTTGTATGATGCTGACTAGCTGCTACTCCTGTCTCCTTGAGACAATGTCTAGCCTTCCCAATGTTGTTGAATCCAAATTCCATCATCTCTTTCCATTGGCTGTTAGCTAGAGCTCATGGGAGTTGGAATTCAACAGCCATTAGACTGTGATGTATTGTTCAGTCTTCTAGGTGAAAATTTCTGCAAGAAGGTGACAAAAAAATTGTCAAGTAGCACATTTGGAATGTTGAGAGCATAATATAAGTTCTCACACAAAATTGTTGTTGTTTAGTCGTTACGTCGTGTCCGACTCTTCGTGACCCCATGAACCATATTGTGCCAGGCCTTCCTGT